AATATATTTTGAATCCTGTGTGGAATGTTGTTGCAAATAGACTCATACTATGCAAAGGAATTTGGAAATGGTTACCTTTGAAGAATTCCTACTGCCCTGGACTTCAGGGGGAAATAAAAAGAAACTTGTTTTTAGTGTAGAATCTGTAACCCATGGTGTCCCACACTTTCACAAAAAACAGATTGTTAATTTTTAAACTCCAAATTGTTCCCAGGACTGAAAAATAGTCATATTTGTGATTGGTCATTCCAAAATTTAAGAGAATCAAATCACTCCCAAGACTCCCAAGACTAAATCAAATAAGTCATATCAGTGATTGGCCATTCCAAGATGTAACAGAACCAGATTGCTCCCAAAACTCAAATGAATGAGTCGTTTTTGTGATTGGTCATTCCAAAATGTAAGAGAACAATCTAAATCCTCCCAAGACTCAAAAATTCAGTAGTTATTGTGATCAGTATTTTGGGCATTAAAAAGAACCCCAACAACAATGAATATGGACAGCTTTGGCTCCTAGTTATGACAACTACTATGACAGGCATGATTCACCAACCAACGGATCCAGTTCTTCTCACCAACAAAGAGAATGGGGAAGGGCATCACAGACCATAGTAGCAATGCCATTGTCAACATTGACAGCCTCTACAACAAAATTAGGCCACCACCAGCCAATGGGGCAACTTCATTGTCACGATTGGTCATACTAGTTCTTGTCAATAGTACATTCCTCAAAGATGAGACAAAATTCTTTCAATCCCAGCAGGAACGTCAGCTGTTATGAGAAAATGGAGGATATGGATGATACTATTGTTCTACTAGCAGGAACAATAATATAGAAGTTGCCAACAAGAACTTCACAATCACAATGTACTTGAATCTTGAAAAATGTCAGGCACTACTATGCAAAGTTGACAAAGTGGCGTGATAGCTAGTAGATTGCTGCTGGTGCTGCTTTTGTTTGAACACTAAAAAGTCTGTGCATTCTTGATCTAATTTATTAAAGAAAAGKAGGGACTCCAAGGGAAGATTGTTGCTAATAGCTCCAACAAGTACTACGTAACAAAATCTCAACTCAAATATTAACAACAAAGAGYACTTCATATGTTTCTATCAGAGCACTGGAAAACCAAAAATAATTCCTCATTCAACTCAAAGCAGTGGGAGAAGACTCATCTTGTCCACAAGGGACTTTCATATCAAGGCAGCACCAGATAGCAGCACTGAAAAACTTGGGGTTGGGGTTGGGACTTTGSTTGTCCCCTTAATATCTGTATGGCTAGTAACATTATTTACTGCATCTCAATTCTACTAGATCTAAAGAACTTGTTAACATAGGATGACGATGCGGCATGCTCATTGTTGACATCATATCATTTGCTAGCATCAAACAGCAGTTGGATACATTGAGGACCTAGTATCTGCTGGTGAACATATGACTTACCTATATGCCAAGCTGTCATGTAATTTCTATTGTAATCTACCATCCAATGCCTTTGCAGGTGACTTCAACCAACTCCTCAGATCACCACCAGCAGTGGTGGAAGGAGATGCCTGCCTCTTGTCAAAAAAGATTGCTAGTAGGTTTGGAGAGAGAAAAAACAACAACACAATTATTGAAATTCCCAATCTGAATATTGCCAATGCAAGAACTGCACACAAATTACACACAAAGAAAGATCATTGGAAAATATGTTGGTTTCAACTTGGTCTATCACAAGAGGAGGAAGCAATTGCTGGATTTATGTTCTTCTTGTTGCTGAGGTGGTGACTACTATACTACCATCCTCAAAAAGAGCAAGAAGAGGGACAACTTTGTCCTTCTTGTCTTACTACTAGTACTAATACTACTAGTATTAATATCTTGTTGTTCTTGTTCTTGTTGTTGTTCCTCCAGCAGCAGCAGCAGCAGGAGGAGGAGGAGTCTGCTGGCTGGGGGTGTTTCTTGGAAGAACAAGAACGACACCGCTTCTTCTTCCTTCTTGTTGTTCTTGTTGTTCTTGTTGTTCTTGTTGTCCTTGTTGTCCTTGTTGTCCTTGTTGTTCTTATACTTGTGAAAACACCACCGCCAACAATAGTACACTTCACCATACACAACAAAACAATGAATATGAATAGTATCAGAAACAACAAACAGTCACAGTGCTCTCACTGTTGTTGATGCATGGTGAGGAAGCTTCAAAATTCTTTTCAGAGCAGTACTACTACTACTACTTTCCACCTTGGTGGCACGAACTTAGTTTTTGCAGCGTAGTGACTACAGAAGCGTTTGCGTTGGCGACCCAACCGTGTTCGCATCGCATCGTCCCGCTTTTTTTCTAGCCGGTACCGTACGTAGATGCGAAATGCCCGGTGTGCACGAAGCCGGTGGCCCCGATCGGTATCGTGCGAAGACAGACCGTCGTAGCATAACACTGGGTACGGTTGTACGTGGCGTGCAGACCGTCCTTCGGTGACCGCCTGGCCTGCTCGCCTGCTGGCTTTGGCTGCTGGGGGTTTGAAAAGTGCTTCCGGTCCGAAATGACAAGACGAGGAAGCGAAGAACACGGCGTAGTGCGGTATTTCGGTCATCGTACGGTACGTATTGACGAGTACGGGTACGTACGACGGTACTAGTACTGCACCGCACTGGTAGGATCGATGCGATGCGATGTTGCGATGCGATGTTGCGATGCGATGTTGCGATGTTGGGATGCGAGCCAAATCCATCGGATCCCCCCACCCCTAACATTCCATCCTTCCACACCCATCCATTCCATCGAGCACGACGCAAGCTCCTACCTACTCTACCGCATTGGAGTGGAACCAATACCGACAGGGCGGGAACGAAAGGAAACAACAGAAGAGGGCGGCCAAAGGGCAAGAAAGCACGAAGCACTTAGGAGGTAGCAGCGCTGTCGATCGTCCTCGTTGCCACTCCTACGTTACTACTAGTATTGCTACGACCGGTGCCAGCGCAACGCAACGCAACGTAACGCGATTGTCGCGATGCCGAACGAACGCAACGATGCGGACGGAAGCGGGGGCAACGATGCCCCGATCGTTCCCCCGCTGATCCGGTCTCCGTACCCCACCCGCAGCCGCCGGAGGCAGCTCCAGATCCAGCAGCAGCAGCAGCAGCAGCAACAGATGGAGATCCAGAGGCAACAAGAGCAACAGCAACAAACACAACAGCAGCAGCAGCAGCAGCTCGGCAACGGCGACGAAAGCCTCGACGACGACGGGCTGACGGCCGATCCCCTGGGGCTGGTGGCCCGCCAGGCCTCGGGCCCCCTTTCCGGCGGCACCGCGTCTCTCGAGGGAGCATCGTCACCGTCGGTTTCATCGTCGTTGGCGTTGGCGTTGGCGCAGGGAGGGGATGCGGCCGTTGCTTCGGCAGCGGCCGGGGTGGCACCGACCGTGACCACCCGGAGGAGGCGGCAGCAGCAGGCGCAGCAGCAACACCAACAGCAGCAGCACCAACAGCAGCAGCAACAACAGCAGCAGCAACAACAGCAGCGGCAGTACCACCCGCGCCGGTCGTCGTCGGGGGGAGCCGCCGGCCTCTTTTCGACCCCGGGGGCCACTCGGGCGTCCTCGATCGCTCCCGGAACGGCCCCCTTTTCCCACCATTCCATGGCGGCTTCCTCCGTGGCCGCGTCCAAAGCAGCGGCCAGCGACTACATGATCGGCAGGGGGCTCGTCCAGGCCCGGATCTCYCCCATGGCGTCCGCCCCGGGCAGCGGGGGGGGCGGGAACCACCACGGGCAGGGGAGGCGCTTCTTCCCGCCGGGCAGGAACTCGCTCGGGGGGGCCGGAACCGCCGCTGGCGAAGGCAGCGGCAACAGCAATGGCAACGACGAACACGGCACCGACTCCGATGCCGCAAACGGAACGGGCAAGGATCCGAGGGATGGCACCAGTACCAACGCCAGCAACGGCAATAGCAACAGCAACAACATCAACAACAATAGCAACAGCAACAACAATTCGAATAGCAACAGCAACCACCACCACACCGCCGGTTCCAGCGCCTCCCACAACGAACCTTCCGCAAAAACCGCGGAGAAGGATTTCGTCCTCCACGGAATGAACATTACCAGGCTCCGCAGGCTCACCCTGGCGTGCCTKGGAATGGGCGGCGGCGCGGGAAACAGCGGGGTTCCGACGACGACGACGACGCAGTCCCCCAAGATGGCYGCCTTTTTTGCGGGGATGGTCCACTCCAAGACCGGGACCCCGGGCGACGCCTATCTCTACGCGAGGGCCCTCCACCAGAACGAACAGCCGATGAGGGCCGTCCGGTGGATCGAGCAGTCCGGCCTCCTGGGGTGCTACTTCTCCGAGGCGAACCTCGCCGCCGTGGCGGAAGACCTCTCGAGGGAAGATGCCGGGGAACGATCCGAGAAGATCACCGCCGGGCTCGTCCACGAGCGACTCGAGGAACTCAAGACCCTCCAGGTCGAGTCCCTGCTGCTGGCGGCGCAGGCCCTGGGAAGCCTCAGCGACTGGACCGCGGTTTTGCGCCTCCTGGAAGACGTCCGCCACTACACCTTTCCGGAAAGCCACCGGGAACACTACGAGCACCGGCTCTGTTTCCACCGGCAGCGCCAAGGTTTCGTCCACACGGGAATGGACCACGACGACACGGAGAACTCCTTTCACCCGAACCACATGACCATAGTCACCACGGGGGGCAACAGCCACAGCCACAGCCATGCGCACCACCACCCCGCAATCCCGCCTCCGCAGTCCCAGATTCCCCAGCACCTGGACGACGACGACGACATTGCCTGGCACTCGCTGGCCGACTCGCTGCAGCCCCCTTTTCCGGGAAGCACCAGCAGCAACGCCACGCCGGAGAAGATCCATCCGCTCTCGCGGATCTGCCAGCTGCGGGCCCGGGCCTATTCCGAGCTCGGTCATCCCCTCCGGGCCAACCTCTACTGGAACCGGGCCCTCCAGATCGATCCCTGGTGCGTCCTTGCCCTGGAGGGGCTGCTGGAAACCTCCGTTCAGTCCCCGGAGAGCGTGGTGCAGTCCGTCCTGGAGGCCATGTCCGGGCACTCCTCCTCCTCCCCGGTCATGGAATCCAGCGACGAGGAAAACCACAACGCCGCCGGAAACGAKGGCGAGAACCAACACGGCAGCCGCAGTGGCCACCGCAATCCGAACGGCGGCAACAACAACAACAGCGACAACGGCAACGTCCATGGCAATGTCCATGGCAACAGCGACGGCATCGGCAACACCATCGACGATGCCGAATGGCTCCGGGCCCTGTACCTGGCACGGGTCTGCACGGCGGCTCCCAGCACGGCCAGCGCCATCGGGGGCAGCGCGGAGAGCGGAGGGACGAATCCCCCGGACGCCGCCCGCGACGATCCCATGGAAGACGACGACGACGACGTCGACAACGACCTTGTGGCAGGCGGCGATGCCGACGACGGAAACGGTGACGAAACCATGGGGGCCGGGGGTCCCCCCTCCTTTGCCCTGACGCCCCACCATCCCTCCTCCCGATCGGCACCYGCCTCGCGTCCGGAGGACCGGAACCGCCACCCCCGCGAGGGATCGTCGGCAGCGGGAGCCGAGGAGGGAGGCATCGGTGGCGGGACCGGAAGCAGCGATCCTTCCTTCTGGCAGGAGGCGTCCTCCATTCAGCTCCTCACGCCGATTCCACAGCAGCAGTCCGTGGCCGACATGTCGGCCGCGGGAGCGAGCCTCTTTTTCCCCCCGAGCGGCCACCGCCGGCCCCACCCTTGCGCCGACGGGTCCCCGACGGCCGGGGATCCCTCCACCGCAAAAGCGGTCGGATCCGCCCTCGACACCTTGTGGAACAAGTTCCGGCTCCGGAACTCCCCCGAGGTCCTGGCCATGGCGGCCCAGAACGCCTACCGGAGGTACGACTGGAACGCCGCCCTGCGGTTCTGCGAGGAACTCGCCGCCGCCGATCCGCTCTCCTCCAACACCAACAAGGCGGCCTTTTGCCACGTGAGCACCCTCGTCCAGCTCCAGCGGAAGCGCCCCCTCTTCCGCCTGGCCCACGACTGGGTCGAGTCCTCCCCCAAGGAGGCCCGCTCCTGGTTCGCCGTCGGTGCCTACTACTACGCCTGCGAGCGATACCACGTGGCCCAGAGGCACTTTTGCCGGGCCACCCGCCTCGATCCCCACTGCGTCGAGGCATGGATCGCCTTTGGGGCCTCCTTTGCGGCATGCGACGAGTCGGACCAGGCCCTGGCCAGCTTCCGGGCCGCCCAGCGACTGGCACCCGGGAACCACACCAGCCTCCTGTACATTGCCATGGAATACCTGAGGACCAACCACCTGGTCCTGGCCCAGCACTTTCTCAAGGCGGCCAACGATTCCTCCGGTGGAACGGACCCACTGGTCAAGAGCGAGACGGGGGTCCTGAAACTGAACCAGAGAAAGTACTCCCAGGCGATTTCCTGGTTCCTGATGGCGCTGGGGGCCGACCAGGAGTGGGCCTCCTCCATGGCGAGGCTCCTGGCGGCTCAAGCCCGCGAAACGCCCGGTGGAGACACCCTTCCGCGGTACCTCGCCGCGCTCTCCCGCCTMGTCGAAACCGTCCAGGACCCGTACTGGGAACCCACCCTGTKCAACCTGGCCCACGCCTACCGGAAGGAGCGCCGCTTCGACGCCGCGGTGGTGTGYCTGGAGCAGTGCCTGGCGCTCCGGGAAACCGCCAGCGCCTACTCCGCCCTCGGCTACTGCCTGCACCTCCAGAGCACAACGGTGTCCACCGGGCACCGGTGGGCCGAGCGGGGGAAGCACCCGTTCCGGCCGGATCRCGAACGGAAGGACAAGAGCAACCGGCTCTTGCATTCGGCCATCGATGCCTACCACCGGTCCCTCGCCAARAAGCCCGAGGATCCCTTTGCCTCGGAGATGCTCCAAAAGGCACTGGGGGACGCCCTCGAGCAGACGGACTTTTTCCTGGGCGAAAGCGAAGACGGCGAACACGTGGCCCGCGGCGGTGTGGACGACCCTCCCGATCCATCGAATGCCTACGGGAGCGGCGTCGCGGGAGGCCCGCGTTTGCCGCCAACGGGGGCGGCGGTGCAACACCACTACCACCACGGTGCCGCCCAGAGGCCGCAGCGAAACTCCCTGGAATCGGTCTCGACGGCGACCACGGGAATGGGGGATGCTTCCGGCGCACTCGCTGCCGACCAGTCCTCCCTGTGGACCGAGGACGGGCTCTCGGTATCGGCGGACACCACCAACGACGACGTCGACATGACGTGAGGGGACACGACGCAAGCAGAGCAGAGCAGAGAACTGCGCGGCACGAATAAGACGAATAGGCAAAACGGCTAATGATCTTTTTTTAAAAAAATATGCTTCTAGAAGTTTTTCCGAGAATCGCAACGCGAATCCGACAGCCATTAGAAGTACTGTAGAAGGAAGGCGTTTGCTTCTCTTTGCGATTTGGATAATCACGGAATAGGCCCCCAAATCCCAATCCGAGAGTAAGATTGGCAGTAGCTTCCGCAGGTGGGCAACGATGCCCATTGGAGAACGAATCTATTTCGAGGCCTACTACGCATTGTGTGTGTTTGGATGGTACCACCACCATCGATTACTGTTCAATCGCGGTGCTAACAGTATGCTTTAAGATGATATATTAGTACTTTGCGCCAGATTCGCTTGTATCCCGGCCGTACTACCACCTTTGCGAGACGGAATCAGGGTACAAGTGCCCCGACAACTGCCACGTGTAGAAGCCGGGGATACGGCTTACTACTAGACCAAGGGGTGCAAATGATGAACAAGAAGGAGGAGGTCTAATACAGCCCAGCATACAAGACAAGATCCTCTTCGTCTCAAAACGTCGACACAAACAATAGTAGTCGCATATTACGAGTACTGGTAGTCCCTGAGATCAAGGAATATCTGGTAGACAGGCGGCATTCATGATTTTTTAGTGCCTAGTCGTAAATAGCAGTTACCTATTGCAATAAAAAGATGAACCTGATGACCACGAGATTCTTTTGCATCAATCAGTGTTTTTCATTTCTCATAACTCTACGACATTGAACCAGAAGGTTAGTACGGTGGCAACTCCGACAAAGATTTCAATCTCTGTCAGCCTCACATAATGTTCGTCGTGTGAATCGGATCGTGCCAAAAATGGGTTCTTCCATATTATTATTCCCCGTGCATGCCTCTGAGGAATATAATGAGGAAGGAACTCGTGCTATGCCTCTCAGATTCACAGAATTTCGAGTGTGTCTAGCAATAATTCGATTGTCTCCCGGGATATAGAATAGCACCCTTAAGCATACTTCTGTGGGGTCATTCGCCAAAGATCTTGAGCTGAAAAACGTACGGCACGTGCTTCCTCTCCATCCGTGATCAAAGAACCTTTGGATTTTTTAATACAGTAATGTAGGTCATCTGTTCTCGTTTGACAGTAAAAAATACTATTGTTAAGAATTCAGTCGTGGACGGGGCCTTGCCTATTCTCGCCCCTAATAGACAATGGTACATAATAATAATCAACAACGTAATAATGTTGGATTGCTTAATTAAATTTTTATCATCATTGTCATTATTAAGCAATATCTTTCTAGGAAGAAATGAGATTGAAGCAAAGAATGAGTGATTCCCGATATTATAGAAATGCTAAATTTGATAGACGGACGGACCAAAAATCTAGCACATTTTGTAATAGATTTAGCATTTTTAGAATGGGTCAACCGACCCCATTCTAAATGTGCTAAATCTATGATACGGTACTTCTAGTACATTCCAACAAAAGACTGGCATCGAGCCGGCATTCTCGTGGTCTGTCCGTTGAAATTCGGATTCCCGTTATTATAAAAGTGCTAAACTCATAGATTCCGGAATTCTATCATTCTATAATAACGGGAATCACTCAATAATGAGAATGGGTCATTCCCGGAAAGTAAAGTCACACGCAGAATACGTAGGCACAAAGTAGTTCAAAGAAAGCATTGTGCTTCTTCCAGGATGAATAGTACTGAAAAACACTACGGTACCGTACKTATGCCGTACCTTGCATTCGATCCATTTCAAAAAAGATCAGATTTTCTTTTTCGCGAGGTGTCATCATTCAAACCTCAATTACTACCACGAGTGCGAACACCGGGCAAACGAAAAAAGGAAATAGTTCTGTTTCTTCGATTTTTCGCCGCTCGCATTCATTATTTTCATTGTGGTTGATCTCGTTTCGATGCAGAAAAAAATTCAGCAATAAACACAATCAAGTGATCGACGGCACAACGTTTCAAGGTGCGTTGTATTGATTTGTTTTGTTTTCTCCCGTCCCGTCGCGTTGTGCCACGTGCCCAGGTTGCTTTTCGTGGTTTGGTTTAGACTTCCGCGGAGGAGATAYGGCACCTGTTCAATCAAAGAGGAAAGATGTCAAGATTCCTTATGCAGTGAGACGGTGTGTTCCTAAGGAGAACGACTGGCAATCCCACATTCGATTGATATGATTTGACACAAGGAACTCATTTACATTGTTCTGTTTCTATCAAAACAATTCAACTCAACTCAACCAATTGCAACTCGAATAATCTATTACGGCACCGCATGGTACACTACCTCGATTAAACGCCACTATCCATTACTTTAAAACGCCAACTTGAAACTCAATTCGAACTCGCTTTCGTGACAGTGCGGCAAAGCAATCAATAGAATTTATTTAATCAAGACAAAACAAGCAACATGGAGGAAAAACCAAAAGTCGGTGAAGAATCCCCAATTTTCCCCGACGAAGACGGAGAAAATCCGAAGCAAGACGAGTTGGATGACGCAAAATTCGTTGGCGACGACGGCATGGGAAACGCATCCATCATGAAACCGAGAAAGCCCACCCGTCACTACCGCGGACGCGATTCTTACTACGGAGCAGACGGAACGCTTTACGGCCGCTTCGACAAATCAGCCGATGTCGACGATGACGATACCGTGGTAGAATATCGCAATTCCAAGTGGCACATCTTGTCGGCCGTCATCTTCGTTGCTTCCTCCATTCTCTATGTTGCAATGGCTTCCATGGTTATGGACGCCTATTGGTTTTACAAGGACGTCCCCCGCCATGTTTATTTTGCTGATGACGATGCGGCTTGGTGGAACTACTTTATCAACTGCACCGAAGATGGCCATATTCCGTCCAACGTAACAATGGCCGACGATGATTATACCTGGGTGGATTGGTACAACAATACGGCCTTCTTTGAGGACGACTACTTCTGGCAGCCGAAAATTGCCAACGCAAATGCTCCCTTTCCCGAATCCTACGTCAGTAAGTACATGATGATCTATTTCTTTGCGGCCTCCGGATTTCTTGTTACCGGKGCCATCGAAGTCGTCCTTGCGCGCAAGGCCAAGTTCATCTACCGCATGCTCTACTATCTCATGATGCTTGCGGCTGCCTTCGGGGTGGTGTCGGCCTGCCTGACCAACAAGAATCCCCTGTGGAGCAACATAACCAACTGCATCTCGGTCAACCTCTGGGCCCTGGAAGCAATCATGATTGTATGCCAACGTCTGCAGGGCACCTCGGAGGTCGATGACTACGAGGAATACGCGCGGATCTATGGCATTTCCGTGACGGCCTGGTTTTACCTCGCTGATTTCTCCTTTCTAATTGGAACCGTCGGGGATGCCGTGACATCCTACTTTTACGTCTTTGAGTACGACAACTGGAAGCTCGGGATCTCGGCCGTGGTATTTGCTGTCTTTTGGCTGATCTGTTCCCTGGTGTACCTCTTGGTGGCTATCCATGACTACGGCGAGTTCAAAAAATACTACCTTAGTCTGGCGCAGGAAGAAAAGATGGCAATGGAGAACGCCATTACCGATAAAATCGTGGTGATGGAGGTTGGAAACGCAGGTATAGACAAAACCCCGCCAGTGCAAGAGGAAAGCAATGATCAGATCTCCGCCAATACCGACATAGCATCTCCGGCCCCCTCCGCCCCCCCCTCTTCGAGCAACGGAGGGGACAACGAGCCGGTGCAGTGAAAGTGATGCAGCTATTTCCATGTGGATCTCATTGTATCCCATTGCATCTATAATGCATGTTTTTAAGGGGCGCAAAGGAAAGCAATCGATGCAAGGACCGGCCTTCGATCAAGCGCTCTGTCCGAGTTTTTATGCACTTCTGTCTTTGAGGTGGGAAGGGAAGGAAGGAATAGTGGATACAGAGCAGTGCAAACGAGCACGATATACCACTTTCGTTTCCTAGTTAGAAACACAATCTATGTCCTTTTGAACAAATGATAATAATGATAATTGAACTGTATACAACATGCACGTCACTACAACTACAAAATATCTCGCGTCAATTCGACACAAATGGAGTACTTTATTTTTGAAATAGCTGAAAGTGTGACGCTGGTTGGAGTCTAGCAGTTCTATGGCTCTCAAAGGGTTGTTAGTACTAACTAGTAGTATTTAAATATTAACAGAGGAGTAATTTTACCACACCGTACCGACAGTCTAAGCACATTGGGACGTATGTCATGAATATGCTTCCTCTTGTACCGACGGTACTGTAGCTGATTCCACAGCACTTCAGCTCCCAAGGCATTGCTCCTGACAAATACAAGCACGATTCGCCTACCTAAGATAGGGAGGCGAGGGCAACCGAGACAGCTAGTAGGGAGGACAAATACACCATCCAGGTGGTGGTGGTGCCCGCACCGCTCTTGCCCACGTCGATTCCGAAGATTTCGTTCTCGCCATTGTTTTCGTCATCATTGCCGCTTGCCGTGGTGTTTGTTTCGTTCAACAAGACACGTGTCATCTGGTCTTCCACGAGATTGTCTCCAACGCCATCGACATTTTCGCGGAAACCGGCTTCCTGAGAGCCGCTGACAATGGCCACAAAGGCGACCAAAAAGAAGAGAAAGATATTGCTACGAAGCATCATGGCAGAGTAAAGGAAGCAAGAACGTTAGAGAAGTTTCGAATCAAGCGTATTTTTCAGACTAGAAATGTGAAAAATATGAGATTGAGACTGTGACTGTCAAAAATAAATATCAGAACGATTAGTTCTATCATAGTACGAGTACCACCGTTGCATTATCAGCAGAACAATAATACTGTAATTTCATTCTTCTTAGTACTATTAATATTATTCAATTGAAACAGGTGCACACCACGCCGCGTCAAATGGCCCTGTCGTGGTGTCAGAATTCAGAACCTTCAACAAGAACACTCAAGTTGAGATCCGATTACTGTACGTACGTGCGGTTACAATACATGAAAAATGATACAGTATGTTTTGAGGATCTCAAACTACTGGAAATTCCAATTCGTCGACTAAATTCAATGGAACTTTCGAAAATTAGTGCGAAATAAGACGTGACAGCTTCTTAAACAGTACAAAATCTACCGAGCTCTACGCATGGAGTGATAGTCTTAATTTACACCTCGTAGGTAGTACCGTGCCGGAAACTGACACCTTGCAGAAAAAGAATCTATTTTTGTCATGGCTCCAATTTCGCGGTATTCAACATTTGGAATCGGTATTTTTCTCTGCATTCTCACAAAAATAATACCTGCCGTTTTAATCAATCCAACAACAATAAGAACAATAGCCATACGACCTCTACCATGAACTTGGTTCGCCGTGGAAAGCCCCAATTCATCCTCGTCTTTCTCCTGGGCTCCATGATGATGGCAAAGTCCATTGCACAGACAGACCCCCCTCCCATCGAAGCACCGGGAAAAAACGAGACCGATGCAAAAGGCACAGGAGACAAGGGTGGCGACAAATCCTTTGACGAAGACGGCTTTAGTGGCCAGAGCGACGGCCTCGACACTACTAGCRATGCCACTGCCGAGAAGACCGGTCCAAAAGTGACAGACGAAAAGGGCGGCGATGCAACGTTTGACGAAGACGGCTTTGACGGTGAGATCGACGGCCTTGATGTGAGCAGTGCCAATACCGATGTTGTGTCCTTCGCTGTTCAGATTGCCTCGTTTGCCATCGCCACAAACTTTTTCGGTCTATAGATGCAATGCTTCGATATAATGCAATGGGGTGCTATGCTATGCTATACTACACTATATTACACTATACAACACTATACTACAATACACTAAAATAGCAGAAATATGACACTATGCTATACGATACTGTGCTGATGACACTGTAGCAATTTCGCTGTGATTACACGATAATGTGACACTTTGATTCCACTGTGATTTCGTACTAGATAATCAACCTGTGAGACAGTAACCACCAAATCACGAATCGATAGTGAATAACTCACTCTTTATTGTAAACCACGTATTATTGTACACTAAGGAGCCTATTAGCATTTCACAGGTTATGAGCAACAAAGAGACTTACCTCAGCTCAATAACCATCATCAGCACCATAACCAACCACAGAGTAGTTTGATTTACTAACTCGCCTCACTCCTCCGGTGTAGAGCACCTCTCGACAGCTGCTTTCCATCCKGAGCATTTTGCCGGAAGAATTTTCCAGAAAACACCCGGATGAAGAGAACCCTGTACTAAATCACGTAGCATCCTACGGTACACTTCTTTTCAGATATCATACAACATTCGAAGTGTTGACACCTACCACACTGTCAAGCCACAACCCACTTCTTTAGATACAGCAAACGCCCACAATAACTTCCACCATGGCGACTTCAAAGCGAAAAACACGACGAAACACCAGTAAAAAGGACACTAATTCCCCCCACATCCGAGACTTCCTCGTAACCTCCCCCCGCAGGAATCTCACTCCCGCACAACGCGACCGACTGGAACTTCAATTTTACGATGGTACTATTCAACGTGAAATAAGAGCACTAGAACTGCCCTTCCCGATAGATGCAACACTACGAATCTATGATGGCCCACTATTCCTCTTCAAACCACTGTACACTCCTACACCCTCTGAGTTCACACAATGCCTAGCCAATGTTCACACCAAAGCTCTCCCTGCAACAGATAAGATTGTCATGCTTGGCGAATACCTCAAAGAAATGATCCACCGAGACCACTTTCACCAACCAGTCAACACCAGCCCACATGGCTCATCTAGATACAAGTACAGCCGTGCCTTCTTGACCTTCCTCGATACAATACTCCCACCACATCAGGAAACACCACYGGCAGCAGTCCCTGTTCGACGACACTCAAAACCACCACAACGTCTTGACGACTCTCCTAGTAGTCCTGAATCCGCTCACCGCAAACCACCACCAGCACCAACACCTCCGGATACAAAGGTCCAGCAGAACACAGACCCTGGCACCAAAGATTCAGGCATAGAGTCAGACTCATCCACAAGCTCCCTACCAGCCCCACCAAGGAACCTACGGCAACAATTTGCCCAGGAATTCCACAAGGCACAACAGCGGACCATCAACACAGATCGACAGCAACAGGATACCGCAACGGACCAAAATGAACTGGATGATCAATCGATATCAGCTCAAATCAAGACATACAATGCCACATTCCAACACATTGATCGACAGATTGAAGAACTTAAGGACAGCTTTGACACAACGGAGACAGAGACCCAAGACAACCCCAATCAAGACGAGCGGTCCTCTGACTCCACACTTGTAAATGAGACACGCATGATCAACCTCATCAACAGGATCATTCACAAAACAGAACAATCATGGACTACACAGATGGCAGAAGCAAACCATGAATGGACAGACCAATTCACGACAGTGGCATCAACCCTAAAGGATCTCCAGTCCACCTACGACTCCACTCTCCAGATGAGAGATAACGACTTAGCTCAGGCAAAACAAGACCTTGCACAAGCACATGAAGCTATTCGTAATCTCCAAGACCAACTGGCTCATCAAAGCCAACTCCTGGATGAATCGATTGCACACAACAATGAAATAACAAAAGATTTGTCAACTGCTGCATCTACCACATGGGCACTAGACCAACGCCTCGAAAAAGCATCCACTGCACTAAACTCCCTCAAACACGGCACCATAGCACTCACATCCTCATCCCGCGATGAAACTAGCAGTCTCACCTCCAAAACACCTAACGTGGAGGACCTCCGCCGTCAAATAAAAGAACTGGTGGATACAGAGCTGTCAATGTTCAGTAAGACTATGGAACAACGTGCGTCTACTCACGCCCGTACAATGGAAGCAACCATTCACTCCATCATCACTGATCAAATAGACAATCTAGTCACCCCACAGGAACCAATCATCCAAAGTATAAAAGACAAGATTGCAGCAACGGTCCTGAATGAGATCACACCCCAAGTTGAAACTATTACCAATCAGTTCAAAACAGATCTCATTCACACGAAGAACACCATTAAACAAACCACTCAAGCTCACCTAGGTAAACTACAGATACAGCACACAGAAATTATATCATCAATCTGCAAAGAGACCACCAATGCCAAAACCGCACTTGGATCAGCAAAGACTACTGCACAAATGGAACTCCGTGCCACAGTCGACAACCATCTTCACTCAACCACAACATCGAAAAATATTCATGATATACTCACCCAATCCCTCTCCCATGTGTTTAAATCAGAAGAATTCAATGCTAATGTTGATGCTGCTCTCAACAAATTTGTTCGGGAATCAGAGGCATTCAAAGACACCCTTGAAACACACGTAAAGGAAGCCGTCAACCATGAAACAGCTCATACCAACCACAAAAACAAAAATAAAAATCCATATTCCGCATACATTTACAATCAGGCAAGCTTCCCACCACAACAACACAGCTTTCAACCCCGCACAGACTCAGACGAATACGATGACGATATTAGTGATCCGGAACAGGAACCCCCGGTAGCTCCTCGCTTCAAGTCATGTGCCAACCGTGTATATGCATGCCAGAACCGCATGGCTCGTGACATGGAACATGAATGGAACCACCGTATCAGTAAAGCAATCAATGCAATGGAACATAAACACATCAATACATCCCTCATTCCCCAGGACAACAGATACCTTACCTCCTCGGAATTCACGGCCATGTACACGGATCTTCACACTCTCATGACACTGGAAAGCCTTCCCCTCACACACATCGATGAACTCCACATTCATCGGACATGCCTACCCCCAAACCACAATGAGACAGAAGAAAATATTCAAAAGATTAGTACACACATATACCAACGACTCACTCAGATGATCGACGCCCAACGACAATCAAAACTAAGGGGACTGATGAGTCCATATCAACACAGGATGAGAGGATACGAGGCACTCTATGCCATTGCGAGGAACTCCTTACCATATCTTTGCCCTACCACAACAGGATGGGGCCCGGACTGGAAACAGGATGAAGACCCCGGCACATATGCAGGAAAACTTTTGGAACACGTCCGCATCAGTCACTTAGCCCATAAGCATGACTATTCTGAACTGGATATATGCTTCGAATATGCGACAAGGATTATGAACCACTACAATCATGCAGCCGGTAACTATCTCCTGTTTACACTGAGCAATCACAAACGCGAAACCCCTGGGGCAGATAACCATCCTGTCCCGGAACACCTCTCTCTCACCTCAATGATAGAAACTGTCCTGGATTACCCAAATAATCCCTCGATGCAACACCAACAGCACACACAAACACCCCATATATGCCGCATGGAGCAACCTCGCCGAAAATTTGAATACAAGAACAAGGTCCAATGCCCGTGCTGCMACACATATGGACACAGTATTGGCGATCAAGTCTGTCGGTTTGGAGCTCAACTCCATCATGCACAACAGTTTGCAACAATGAAACCTGAGACTTTTAAATCCAATGCCGACAAACACCACCGCATGAACATGAAAAACGTCGTTAAACTGTTCGAATCAACACTTGGAAACACGATTATCGACAAAACACAACATGAACTGACTCACGAAGCTTGGGTAAACGCATTTGACACAACCTCCTCTCCTGACTCGTCTGACACACAGGGAGACGAATAGGATCCGCGCCGTGTCTCTAGCGAGGCCCGGCCTATTACACGAGAACACAGAGCAGGCTCTCTCAACACGCGTGGGTATCCAACTCCCAGACCGCATCACCCTGACACAACTCTATTCACTCACTCCACACACTCACACGACAATGCCTCGGATGCACACTYGTACGACAACGCCTCGGATACGACACCAGAACGCACACCTAACAACCCACACACGAATGCACAGAACATACTAACCCCACCATGGCCGCAACAAGGATCCTCACCGAGAATACGTCGTCTCCACACTCCCAATAACGATAACAATGTGATCCTTCCCAACAGTACTAATAATACAGCAGCGAATACAGCAGAGCTCACTAACAGGACAGCAGCTGAACCACAATTCACCGTAGACACCAGTACTGCATCCTACACGACCAACGACAAATCCACAGTGTCACACGGTAGTCAGCAGCACGTACAAACCTACGGGAACGCAATCACAGATAAAACCACAACACGTTTGACCACTGTTAATGATGACTCCCACTTCAATACCGAATGCGATACAACGAGTGAACAGCCCAACTGTACGACCGTAACCTGTCACTCATGTCACACACTCACAAATGCATGTGAAGACTGCATACATGAATATTTTATTAAACAACACAACCCCGCCCACACGCCACCAACCCCAGGTGACCAACTTACGTCTATCAGCCACTGACAACATATCACTACTTCATGAATACATACAATATAAAACACCAACGGACGTGGGCGTATTCTGCGCCAATGACGAAAATGATCAATCAATACTACGAGCACACGGCGAGGGCCATATTAAAATAATCTCAGACCAGGGGACTATCATGCGTTGGCACGCACTTTACACGCCAAAGTCTGGAGGAACGGTCATCTCACCAGATCACTACCAGAGATCACGCAATTTCTACGCGTTTCAGCAGGAAGGATGCTCCTCTAACAAAGGCTCAGTTAACTTTCTAAACACTCATAAAGAAACTATACAGTCGATCCAAACAGCTCGCTCCCACAATGGTGAATGGTATACACCAAACAAAGTCCTCATTGCCAATGAACTCAAACATGAACAACTGACATCTGAAATAAAGCGGTACTGCCACCAAGTGAAACAAGCTCAGGATGCGTCGCCGACCAACACCAATAACACAGTAAGTACGTCCGGTTCCGAAAAACAATCAGCCAAACCATGGTCCTCGGGACTATCTAAAGCGCTAAAGAACCTAGAACTTTGGCATCAAAGATATGGACATATTTCCCCAGCCACATTAATCAAAACACAACGTGTAGTGGAAGGAATCCCGAAACTTCCATCTGCTATACCCTTCTTTAAATGCCCATTCTGTGAAAAGAGCAAGATGACCAAATACTCAGGTACTCACAAACCTCGCAAAGAACAATTTGTCCCCATACAATCATTCCATATGGATCTCTCCTTTGTTAGTGGACCGCCTAACCTTAGCGATGTCCTCAATAACAACGCCAAGCCCCTCCCTACACTCAAGAAAAGTCGCCACGGATACATTGGATTCCTGACCATTGTAGATGCTGCGACACGATCCCTATGGACCATCCCTATAAAATCCAAGGACCCTCCTATCCGGATAATTGATCTCTTCCTTCGTAAACATGGTATTCGAACCACAGATCCCAGCAAAGCCACTCTCACCAAAGCCATCACCACAACAACAGGAGGATATCTTGCCAACTCCAAGGCACTCTCCACGACACTAAAATCAAACGACTACGATCTCACCCAGGAAGACAAAGGATACTTCCTCAACCTCCTCCCCGATCATTTGGACTGCACCATCATGACTGATGGTGGAGGAGAACTCTCGAAATCATCACAATTCCGCACCACCATTGCACAACATGGATATGATTCTATCAACACTGCAGCAGATGCATCCTCCCAGAATGGACTCGCTGAAAGACCACATCGAACACTCAAGGAACGCATTCGATGCTTGCTTTATGCTGCAGGCCTTGGAACTGAATACTGGACGGATGCACTCCTCCACGTCACCTGGCTTTACAACAGAACATATCACTCGGCAATCGGTACCACTCCACTCCAGCTGTACACTGGCACAGTTCCCCTCATGGATAACCTCATCACCTTYGGTGCTAAGATTACAGCTAAAAGACCCGGCACACGACCCACTACAACCCACCCGTGGACCTATGATGGTATCTTCCTTKGCTATGGAAAAACAACAGACAATATCAAATACTTTGATATCCACACAGGAACCGACAAAATAGCTCGACACGACTCTAAAGATGAACTCCAATATGGTGAAGATCCTACGACTCGATCCCCAGCCGCCGCACATCTATTGGAGACATTCACTGAAGGAACTCACACTAATCACTGCACTAAACAATCACCAGAATCTAGACAACAACTTCCACTCAAAAACCATCAACAAGTGAACCCCCTCAATATCGTGGAAGAAATTGTCCATGACTCCCCTCGTAGCCACACAACGGCAGCTGCGGCCCGGCTGACAGCTCACATCTGCAGGGCTCACATCTGCAGGACTAAATTTGAAAGACCGGATATCGCAGCCCTCATCCCTGAACTGGATACACTGGACATATCAACCAACATGATCCTAAACGAAATAACTCACACACTTCCGCTTTGAAACACCAATACATTCCATCCAACAATGGGACTCCTCACACAACCACATCCTGATATCAATAATGCAGTTGAACTGACTGCAATACAACCAGGAACCATTGCACACATGCACATTCGGGGCTGGAAGCGACGCCTTCGGGGCACAATCATCACTGCAGTCGAAGGCACACCTATCCAATCTACACAGGATATAATCACCGTGATACAACATGCAAAATCAACCCATCGAAACACCATTCAAGTTAAATTTGGATCCCTTATTGGATTTGCTCTCAACGGGGAAGGAATTCCTACACTCCAGGCTGATCAACTCAATGTAATTGCCCATCACCTCCACTCTCTAAATTACAACCAAGACTTATGGTCCAACAAGGATGATTGGCCTACTCCGATTGACTCCCCACTGCTACTGGAAGAACAACTACGTATTGCCAAACTAACCAGAACCAAACTGAAAGATATGGATAAGTGGGAAGGCTTCCTCAAATCCGAATGGAAACAACTCAACCGATATCATCGGGTTGGCATGTTTGGGGATCCTATTGAATCCCAGCCTAATATGACCATTCTCCCCTGGGTGTGGACATACCTAGAAAAGGAAAATCCCCTTACTGGAATTGATGAGCCCAAGTCACGAGGCACATGCAATGGTGGCAAAAGATATGGCAAAGCTGTTACTCTGGCAGAAACATATGCGTCTTGTGTTGAACAGCCCATCCATCGCCTCACATGGGCACTCGCAGCAGCCCTTAACCTCAAATGTGTAGGATATGATGTTGGCAATGCTTTTGCTGAAGCCCCTCCACCTAAAAGCCCCTTCTATATGAAAGTAGATCCACCATTCCAACAATGGTGGACTGAATGTCTACACCGTGAACCAATTCCCCAAGGCTTTGTTATTCCAATCCAGAAAGCACTTCAGGGACACCCGGAAGCACCCAGACTGTGGGATAAGTATATATCGGGTGTTCTCACCAAAGAACTGGGATTTACACCTACCACCCATGAGCCCTGCCTTTACTCGTCACAAAAAGTGTTCCCGACCCCTCACATCCCATAGCGTCCCTTTTTTTTTT